AGTGTATTATATCTGGGGGGGACTACTTTGAAGGGGACCACATTAATGTAGACGAATAAATAAATATTTTTTTGAAAAAACGAAAATTCCGGGTACTTTTTGAACAGACCTCGTATACCATTTTGTTCGTACTTCCTCTATATACAAGAAATAGAACACTATGTATGTTTAATATGTTTGTTTCAATTCAACAAGGTTTAAAAGATTTCAGCATTTACAGGCGTAAAAACGTTCGTTTTTTTTTTAATAATTGTAATTTGTTTTTTCATGGGGTTCATGAATTTTTGTTAAAGACAGTCGTTTTAGAAACGCGCAAAAAAAAACATTGAAGGAGGGAGTTCTTTATAAGCAATAAATAAGTTCAAGACATCAGATTTTTCATGTGCCCTTTACATACTATTAGCAACCCCTTTATACTGGAGCTACAATTAGTCAAAATGGTGACTAATAAATTAAAATTTTATGTCCCAAATGAAATGTTTTTAACTTTTTTTTATATTTTTCATATAATCTAACAATGTGACTACTTTCTTCGAAGCTAATGTGGATGTCAGGATGTCTATCTATATTTGAAAGATCTTTATTATTAAAATTTATCTGATACTGGTGATATATTAAATACTATATAATTATAAGATGTTTAATATATGATTTTACGAATTATTTTGGTAATTTAATTTGACTTTGCAGAAACACCTTCCATTGTTAAAAGATTTCATGCGTGAGCACTAAATTCGTATCATTTTTTTTATGAAATTTAGCGATGCACATTATTGATTATTTAAATAAAGCATTCTTTCGCGAGATATATCTTTAACATATTTTTTTTAAAATAAAGCGACTATTTTTAGAGTAACTATATAAAATGGAACTATAATCTCTATTAGATGTTTAATGAAATAAAAATTGTTATATGCACAAAACTTTTGGAAAAATGGATTCTAACTTTGTCTAACTCACAAGGGCATAAACTGAATAAAAATAACTATAGCAAATATGCACTTAAGTATCAATCAAATCCAGACTTAGCGAAATATTAACTACTTGTGCGAATATTCTATATAAGGCATTCGCTTCTACATAAGCTGTCGAAAAAGAAACCATATGAGAACAATTAAGCAAATATTATCGAATGTTTTTCGTCTGCGATAAGAATATTAGTCATTATAAAATGATTAATTAATTCTGAAGCCAAAATTTATTACTATAATTTTCACATAATTTATGAATCGCAATCAATTATGATATATTCAAATCCTTAAATAATATAAATAATATAAATTGATTACAAATTCTTGTTATTACTTAAAACGCCCCCGTAAATTACTCGCCCAAGATTTAATATTCCTCGAATAGTTCATTAAAGTACGGAAAGTTCCAGCAATTTGCCTTAAGGCATGATGCCATTTATTGCTAGTTTTGTTTTCTTGTATACTATATTTTCATTAGCAGCCATTTAATACAGAACACTCAAAATAGACTTTATGAGACACCGAACGCTGTTAAATATGTAGATATGAAGTCTAATTATTTTCGATATATAAATATGAGATTTTTAATTCCATTCTTCAATCAGAACATAACAGTTCTTTGAGCTGTTGCAAAATGCATCTCCTCAATAACGTAGCTTCTTTAGAAGGCAACTCAATGGTCTATCTCATACTGATGATACATTAAACCATGTATTATTACATGATGTACGATTTGAATAAAAATTTTAATTCAACGTTACAGCGACACAGTCTTCTTTTATTAAGAAGTTTTATATATGAGAACACTAAAACCGGGGTTTTGATTGCATTTTTCGTGATCTCGCATAATAATATGATATGAGCCGAACTGTCGGTACCGTCGGAGCACACACGCCGATGAATTTTATATTCTCTGAGATTTGAATACGTTGCTGAATAAATACATATAAATATAAGGGTATACACACTAGTGGTTTTCAAAACTTTTGAAATAATGAATCTTTTTTTCTGTTATTTGACCAGCGATCAGAACTTAAGAGCCCTATAAGCTGTTGTGATGGTTAGACTTAACCAACTACGTCGGTTGTATAGATGGCAAACAAAACTGTTTCCCTTGTGATGAATTTTATTATCACAATTTCTGTAATAGTAATAAATTTTTGAAGATGCAGCAATGTTGCGTGAATGGGTCCACCCATATCTCTAACTGCTAATCCATGAGAAAACTTTTTAGTAAGCAATCTTAAATATTACAAAATTTATTAGGCAATGATTTGTAATGTTTTATATTGGACTATATATCAATGGTAATAACAATTCTATTCTATTTTTTCATCTACATCTTCCTTTTTATATAGATTTTATTTTTATATAAACTATTTCAAATTCCTATAGTTATAGTTTTATTTATTTTTTGGTTCCTATTTTCCTAAAAACTCTCCAATGATGTTTCTCGATCTTTCGCAAATATTACGCTGCCGATTATACTTTACTAATTTCAAATTTTACAATGAGTATTTTTGATTCATAATTTTAGTAAATCAAATTAACTATTCTTAAATTGAAAATCGAACAGTTCGAAAAGTCTAGTTGTTGACATACACAAAAGAAAGAATTACGAAGGTAAGCAATTTAATAAAGAGCTTTTCGTTATGAATAAAAAGAAATAAATTCTGTAAGAACATAAGAACGTATGCATTAAAAAACTATGTAAAGTTTATTTAGGAAGTACAATAACATTATATATCTACATAAAAAATAGTTATTTTATACCGCAAGATATTTGTATTTTGAATCCCCATGAATATATATTACCTAAGCCTTTTTTCTTTCAAGCTTAAAAAATAGATAAAGAAATTTTGTCAACATATGCATATAATGGTGTACGCTCACATATTTGTAAAAAGGGTCTAGAAATCTTACAAATAACAAACACTATTCAGAAAAGGTTTATCAAAAAAAGAATACTAATATGAAAAAATATTTACTCTTTGAACATAATCTTATTATTGTCAAAGGAAATTTTGATTGTATTTTAAAGTCTGAAATAAATATTGTATTTTATACCATTTCAAATACTTTTTATAATTCTGTAAAAAACTGACACGCTTCATTAGGCAAAAATAGAGAAAATTGATGTCCCATGAAAATGATAGAGGTAATTGATATTTTCGTTAATTTACCTTTGAATAAATTATTAAAATACCTTGTAATTGTATAATTTTAATGCACCGTTTTTTAATTTAGTAATACATTTCTAATTTCTACTATATAATGACAAACATTAGTATTTTCTTAAAATTTCTGCACCTAGATTACGGGAAAAAAAAATTTTTTGAATATTTTGAAAAAATAAACTTTACATGACAAGTTTTAATATGTATATTACATTTTTTGTTTACTTGCTGAGAAACATTAGGCTTTAATTAAAACTCCTATGAGTTTAACTATTAGAAAAAGTTCAAAATTGTTGCATTCATGTTTTAACAAAATTAAGTGAAAAGTATGACATTTAACCTCATAAATACATATCATTTCATGTATTTAGAATAGTGAGAAAATAATAACTAATAAAAAGAATTTCCATGAACTTTAAACTAGAGGTTCTAGAGGTTTCACCATCAATTTTTCTTTAACAAGCTATGCCAAAATGTTCATAGAGCTTTGAAACGTAAAGATATGCAGAAATTTTCATTCTAGATTTGTTTTGCGATTACTATAACTTACCCTACGGGAAGTTAATAAATAATTTCCAAAAAAATATACAAAATATTATAAATATACTACGTCGCGTTCTCCGAGGATCAGTGGTTTAAAAACATTTTTCTAAAAGCTTTAAGCCATGCAGTAGTGATATCAGTTTTTACTTGAAAATATAGATAACAATATGTTTCCGAGTAAAAATAGCCCTTAGCCGACATTGTTGCTTCATTGAAAAAAATCATCAGTATTACAGAAATTGTAATAATAAATTCATCACATAGGAGAGGACAAGAATATGGGAAAGCATCTTTCAATCCACGACATTGAAAGAAGTCAGCATAACATCTAAAAGGATTCGTTATATTCTAATTGCTGTTAAATAATAATATTGCTGTTAGAAATATAATAAAAATCTAATCTTCGAACCTACGTTCTTCTTCGGCTTGATGTTTCGAATCGTTTTATGTGAAGTTTGCATTGCACTATTACAGCAACCATTAGTTTATCGGTGTTATGAATAATTTTGGTTTTAGCTATTGATCAGAGAAAAGGTAGAAAATAATTTAGACGTGAAAATAATCAAATTTCTAAATAATAAAAATATGTAATGAAACGAATCGCACTCATCTCGTCATTGCGACATTGAGGTTGAGCGCGATGTTAACCAAACTGTCACATGCACATGTTCCCATTGTTATAGTGCGCGGTGCCCATTGAAATTTTCTATAGAGCATTTAGTCACGAATAACACATATCATCAGAATAATTCGGATGCGGGAGTCGACATTATCAAATGCATTCGCTTGCATATATCCCTGGCCGGAAATTGGCTGTAATGGAAAATGCACAATGTATATTTTATAAGGCGCGAACGAAACTCAGCCAACAAAACGAATTTATTACGCATAGCTACTAATATTTTCACATATGTTGTGGCATTGTCCATTTCATCATGACTAAATTTAAAATTACCGCTTGCCTAAAATATTTTCGAGGTGTTGTCTTGCGAAAAGTAGGGAGGATCAGTTTTTTAGTGGCACGCGCAACATACATACATATATATTAGGGTGGTCCTTAATATGGACATTTTCGAATTTCCATGCTCCAAAGAGCTCAAATGGTTCCAAATTGATAAAAAAACATTCTCTGAAAGATTTAGTTCTTAATGTTGTCTTTTAGATAGAGCGCAATTCAATCAAGTTGAATCAGTTTCATGGAATTGCGGACTCTGTAAAAGTTATTAAGGACCATATTAAGGACCACCCTAATATATATATATATATATATATATATATGTATATGTTTGAATAAAAATATATAACTTACGTGGATGGATCAATCGTTAAAGTATCAGCATAAATCTGCAAGAATTGCCCTCCAAGAACATATCCCACGGCTGGTCCAATAATCGACATCGTATAGTAAATTCCTGTAAATGACACATAAATAGAAAATTTTTCAAAATGTATAAACATCTTGTCACTAAAAATATGATAAAAAAATGTGAATAAAAAATACTCTCAAATTGAATCAAATGAAAGGTTAGTCACTTCTCCTAGGTGCAAGGCTGCAAGAGAGAACCCGAACCATGTTAACAGTTCTCCTAGTAGAACATATGTTACATTTCTTTTCTTATTCCATAATCAGTATTTTATTGATATTGAAATTACTTCAGTTAAATACATCTATTTTAGAAAATAATTTTAAATGATTATTATACCTAACGATCGTATTATATACGATCAGAAGCTTTTTGTTATAAATGTAATAATGGTCATTGAAAATAAGCAGTTGTTTTTAATCCAAAAATTAGTATTTGATATATCAAATAAGATATTAAAAATAAAAATTCCAAAAATATTTGTAAGATTCATATTACTAAGGTGAGCATACGTCCCGGTCTGGCCAGAACAGTCCCGGAATTTCATCTTGTGTTCCCGATGTTTCTTAAATCAATATTTGTCCCAAATTTAGATTTTTTGGCCTGGATAGTCCCGGGGTATCGAAAAGTATAGTATTGATATTACAACTAGTGATTAAATTACAACAAACCATCAAATATATGAAAATACGTAATGCTTATATGAAAGAATGAGAAAATTTCCGAATGCAAAGTTTCAAAGGCGGGTTAAATAAATAGGCTTCTGACATTAGTAATTTCGAACTATCATTTTCAATTTAGCAAATATTAGCAAAATTTGTGAAAACGAACTTTTTGGCTGCCGGGCACAAGTGTTAATTTTTCACCAATAAATTAATTATTTACAAAATTTTATACAAGGCTTAGAAACAAAAAAAAAACAAAGTTCTAAGTAAAAACGAATAATTCTGATTAAAAAATTTGAGAAAAATGATAAGCATAACTACGAATTGGCGCCCCGATTTTACCAAAATTTAATTTTAAAAAATATGGTTACTTTATATAATGCTTAGTAAAATTTTTTAAAAAAAAGGACTTTTAAACCTTTCAAATTCAAAATGCGTGATTAGTTTAGGATTTATTTCAAGCTTCAATCTGTTTATTGATTTTAATAATCGAATACTTCCAGCTACTTGCCTCAAGGCACAATGACATCCACCAATAGTCATTTTCCTCATCCCAAACATTAAATAAACAGCCGTTTAATACCGCCTAAGGCAACTTTTCATTCGTTCAGTCGACTGACGCAAAGAGCAACACCTTATTTTCACCTCCCACGTGATATTAAGCAGGATTTATACGTCCCCGGGGGGTAGTTTTTTTAAAATATTTTCATATTAACACTAGCGAAAAGGTAGGAGAGACCGATGTGCGTATATTTGTGCACAAGGGCGCGATTGCATGGGAGACCTTGGCGCAATTTGCTGATCTGGTTTTGCTTTTAGCAAACGCGCGCCGAGGGTGATGGGCCGTGCGGGCCTCATGTGGATATCCGTGCAGTGGAATACAACTCGGATAATTAGAGAAGATTCACCACTTGCGATAATACAAATTATTAAATAAGCTGGATTCATTCAATATTATGTTACATGTAATATTTTCAAATAATACTGACATTTTAAGTATAATTTGAAAATATTGTTATTTGAAAATATTTGATTTAGTTGTCTTTTAAACATTATTACATACAGGGTGTCTCAAAACACAACGTATAGCCGGTATTGGTAGAAACTATCATGAAAAAAATCTCATGCACTTTGAAAGTTAAGAGCTTTAAGTCAATCGAGAGCTGCAGTTAACATGTGACCATTTTTTGATTATTGGAGTAAATTTGTATTATTTTTGCTCATTTAAACTTTATACCCGTTATCCTAAATAGCATTTTTAGAACCACAGTAAAAAATAATGAAATTGCCCAAGTTTTCTAGAATTAAGACCACTTTTTAGAAAATTTCACTAATTAATTAATGAATTATATATATATATATATATATATATATATATATATATATTTATTATAATATCAATATATCAATATTATAATATTATTGAATCATAATAACAACAACCAATAATCAAAAAATGGTCACATTTTAACTACAGCTTTCGGTTGTACGTAAAAGCTCTTAACTTTCAAAGTGCATGAGAATTTTTTTTAGTGCTATTAATACTGGCTTTACGCTGTGTTTTAAAAAAATGTATTAGTTTCTTGCGAAAGCTCGCAAATTTATTCACGATTGCAAAATGGTGCAATACTTATTACTTTCATACTAAAAAAAACGAGTAAAAAATAAAACAAAAAAAAAGAATAACCCCAATAACCGAGAAATGGTCACATTTTGACAAAAACTCATGGTTGTACATAAAACCTCATAATTTTCAAACTAAATGGGATATTTTTTTAAATTTTTTCTTGATAGTTACAATTAATGGTGTCACCCAGTTTTGTCTTGACGTTGAGTCATGAGATAACCTGTATATGAACAATTAAAAATATTTAGTACATAATTGTAGGTTTCAGCTATTTTTAAAACAAATATTAAAAATCGAAAGCTAAATAGCAATTCTAATAATTAATATATCAGTATAAGAAAATATATAAAATTTCTACTATGAGATATGATAAAAAAATAAAAAACTAAACAATCAAACTAAATAACTTTTTGTTAAATTTTATGCGAACGACTTTTTTAAAATAAAAATAACCCAATTTACGTCCAATTATATCAGCCATCGGCCAATAAAAATCCCGTAGAAATCGGTTTAGCCGTTTTAAAGAACAGACCAACAAAAAATAAAAAAAATGTTAATTTTGTATATTATATATAAGGTTCATATGTATCAAATGAAAACGTATATTCAAATATTACAGCAGATACTGCAATTTTATTTATACGTTTAGATATGTCAAAAAAAACGAGTTAGATCATTACATAAGAGTTTCAATCAGTCCACGATTCGCAAGAACATTCGATCGCTAATTGTTAATGTAGAGGTTTCTGCTTATGTAAAAAATTTAATTTTATATATATATATATATATATATATATATATATATATATATAATTTTGCAATCTTACAAAATTAAAAAAATACAAAAATGCATATCTTTGTTCGGTTAGTATTGTAATGAGGCAAATTAATTGTTTTACGCTAATCATACACCTACTAAAATTTAAATTGGAATAAAATGAAAGGATATTGATAGTAGTAATATTAGTAATTTTTTTTACGAATTTCGTCTTAAGTAACTTGGATGCTACTGCTCTTGAGTATTAGAGGGGCTCTGTTAGCCCGCAGAGGTTTTGGAAAGGTAACGCTGTTTTGAAGGGTGACATTTCACGGTGGATAAACATTTGTAATAAAAACAAATCATCCGGAAAGCGCAGGTATTTTCCATTGCACTCAATCGAAATTAATATTGTGATGAACTGTCCATACGTTTGATTAAAATCATCTAATGTTTTGTTATTATAATAAAACTTGACTAAATTCTGTTTACAGTCTAAAAATACATTTATTGATGTAATAAGTAATAGTGCACTATTAATTATTTATTATTCAGGTTAGTGAATTTTTTAAATTTATTGAATTTTAAGTTAATATAGAGAAGTGGTTTTCATCTTCTAGATAAGTTTCATCAAAAGCGTGTAGATACTACATGCTCACACACATGTTTTTAAGATATGTCGAAAAAACAAATGATATTTAAAAATAAAATATTTTCAATTTTAAAATGAAAATTAAGTTCACTGACCTAGGTAAACGCTTGACATTTTTTTGGAAACATTTTCATCTATGAAAGTGACTCCCAGCGTAAAAAGAGGAGCACTACCAGCCCCATGTAAAAGCTGTGCTACGAAGAATAGCCACCAAACATTTGCCTCTTCTGCAACTATAGGTACTTGTTGATTGTCTTGAAACGTCAATGCCTGACAATTCTGCAAATAAAACGTCAATTAGATAATTTCAATAAAGCTGAACAAATACCATTTACGTAGGTCATTAGTCTAATTTATAGTTTACAAAAAACGATTTTTTTTCCGCAAGATTTTAACCGGTTTCAAATTTTCATATAAAACTATTTTTGAAAACCGTTTTCCGAACAGTATTTTCTCCAATAGGCTGATTTTAATTGGTTCCGGTTTTTCATATAAAACTTGTTGCTCGAATAATTCAAACATAATTTTTTTACAAAAATTTTGAGTTATTAAAAGTAGTTGTTGACTGAAATGATTTACTATTTAATTTTATTGATTAATTTTTTTATGCAATTTAGTCGTCGAACAAAAAGCAATATTTGACTAGGATTGGATAACTTTTAAATAAACAATTAATTATCCGTTGTTTGCGCCTGATTTTTATACTCGAGTGTAAATATTTCAAAAATTTTGAAACAAGAAACGCGGTATCGATTTGCAACAGTGTTTTCATCAATCTAGTACATTTGGCTACATTTGTTATTTCAAATTTTGTATACTTTTATTCATACATTGAAAACCGGTATTCTAGTAAGAACCGGTTTTCGAATATCATAATTTTCTCCTGGAAACTAGATTTAAAACCGGTATCTAAAAATTGAAAAACCTTAGGAGGTAGAATGAGCTTTTGAGATTGATTTTTAAATAACAAATTATAAATATTATATTTTTTGCGTATAAATTTGAATGTAGTTTAACACTTTCGACTCGGGAGTCGGACTGCCAGTCGGTACGCTGCGCTCGGAATATTATAGTGCTATACTTATCTCTCAACTCGGAATTTTTTTTTTGTATCGGATTTTTTCAAAATGTGGTTATATTGCTTTTAAATATAGTTATTATGATAATAAAATAGAAAATTTTGAGAATTAAAAAAAATTGCACTCAAAACCATGCTATATTGTTTAAAAAACCATTTCTTCACAGATCTTTATTAGAATTATGGGGATCATGAGCTAATAAATTAATTTTGTTATATATTTATTTATAAAATTGATAAATCAATCAATAAATGAATGTAATAGTAAATTAATTTTAAAAAAATAAAAAAAAATTAAATGTAAGTTTAGTTTGCGACGAGTCGTCGCCGACACGATTTGCCGCCGGAGTGGCGGCATCCGAGCTTAACGGTAAAACATCATGCCGCCGGAGCGGCGGCATCCGAGCGCAACGGTAAAATGACTATGCCGCCGGAGCGGCGGCATCCGAGTCGAAAGGGTTAAATGTTTTTCTAAAAAAAAAATAATAATTTCAATATGTCGTCTAAGAATAAACACTTATTTGAATGATAGTAGAAATTTGTTTTGGGATCAAATAATCAAAAAAAAAACTAAATTCAAATATTCTCAGTTACTATATGTATAACATACATTTTCTCGCAAATATATAATTCTTATACTCGATTTAAGAAGGCTTAAAGATTTATTGTTGAGTTTTTATCATTTTGTTAATCAATTTAATTTTTATATTAATATCATCTTATAATTATAAAGATATTGATATAAAAATTTAACTTATAAAAAATCACATTATAAATATAAATATAAATGTAACTTAAAAAATCTCGCGAAGAAGTGATTCGTTGCTTTGTCATAAAAGCAAAATTCGAGATTCTGGCGATTGAGAGACGAGGTTCATCCAATATCAATTGTAACAAGGATTATTGTCGTATGTGAAGTCGCATTAAACTATTATACAAATGTTTATAGTAAATTATTTTTAAGTTAAAAGTTCCAATTCAATAATATTAATGTTTTGCATTGGTTCATGCAATGGGTCATTCTTTTACAAACCGGACACTAATTAACCTTGACATTTCAGAATTGTCTGAAAATTTGTTTACAGATACTATTGATAAAATCATTTGACACGTATTTCAAGATTTTGCTGAAAAAAATTTTTTTACGTAAATATTTACGATTGAAATATGGATTTTTTGCTCAATTTCTATGAACATCATCTGCGGTAAATTAATTATCTCCGGATGTGCTGATCCGATCAGTATTATTATTTTTTTATTACACTCATATTGAAGTGAACTTTGTAATGATTAAAAAAAATTTTTTTGTTTTTGCAATTTTCTTAACAATAACAACCCTTAAATATTTACAAAGGTTTTACTCGGCCTTTACCCGAATTGAATCGATCCAAAAAAAAACATATATTTTCTTTTTTTCTCTGCAACAAAATTCTTTTTACAATTTGTTGGAGGTTTTGTTACATCGAAAGATATTAAATATTTTCAAGCGCGAGCCGCGCTTTTCACGTCGTGGACCTCAAAGACTTGTACTCATTTGTCACTTTCGAATGACAATTTTATTGTTTTTCGGTTGAAAAATATTTTATAATTTCGCTTCTGGCAAAAAATGAACATATAGTCAAAAAAAAAACATTAGGGGAGAGCGGAGCTTAAAAGTTCGTGGGTAAAAAGATCCACTGCCAATATCTCAAAAACAAGTAAAGTTAGAAATTTTTTGAAAGGCCGAGTAAAACCTTTGTAAATATTTAAGGGTTGTTATTGTTAAGAAAATTGCAAAAACAAAAAAAAAAATTTTTAATCATTACAAAGTTCACTTCAATATGAGTGTAATAAAAAAATAATAATACTGATCGGATCAGCACATCCGGAGATAATTAATTTACCGCAGATGATGTTCATAGAAATTGAGCAAAAAATCCATATTTCAATCGTAAATATTTACGTAAAAAAATTTTTTTCAGCAAAATCCTGAAATACGTGTCAAATGATTTTATCAATAGTATCTGTAAACAAATTTTCAGACAATTCTGAAATGTCAAGGTTAATTAGTGTCCGGTTTGTAAAAGAATGACCCCAATGTGGGACAAAGTTGAAATTTTATGGATAAAAATGATCCCGAAAAAGATGCAGTTGGTCGAGCATCAGAACTATTTGATGAAACATGTATAACTCATTACTCGCAATACTATAATAAGTTGAAGGAAAAATAATTCTCATTCGACAGTTTTTAATCGTGGCATTGAACGGCAACCTTTTCACCTTTTCATTGAACGGCAATCGTGGCAAGAAAACGGCACCTTTTTGATATTCATTAGTAATCCTATAATATGTACAATTACTCGTAGGCTTTATTTAAATTTTTTCATATCAAGACTACATATCTATAAGCTAAACATATCCAACCTCGAAACCACTGGGTGACCATTCGACCTTTTATTCTTTTGTAATAAACCATTAAAATTACTGAATGTTGTTTATAACGACAGATAATTGTAAACATAATTGTACAGATAAATGTAATTTATAAATGTAAATAAAAAAAATCGTCAGTTTTTGAAACGTAAAAACTAGTATAATGATGATTTAGTTTTTTTTATATGGTAATATGCTGTTTAAGCAGAATATGAATTTGGTCTTAGCAATAAAGTTTTATTTATTTTTATTATCAAACAAAAAAACACTGTGCTGGAACCAATTAATGGCATTTCAATGTACTTATATGGTATGGAAAAAATTGCTTTAAGATACGAGCAAATCGTCATGCGAGCGTGGTTACGGAATGAATTAAGGGGGTATTCTACTGTAGAAGCATGAATTTTGCCCGGTTTTTGAAGCGCTGTATAAAGGAAACAAATAATATTTTTACTATCGATTTTTTTATGATTTGTTTATTGATATTTTATTATTACATAAAAAAATTATTAAAGAAAAGAAATTAGAATTCCCAAAGTTATGAGCAGTCAAAGTGAGGGCTCAAAAAAAAAGGAGGGTGTCCTGGCGTGCATGATTCCAACCCTCCTGGTGATCCGAAACATAAAAAATAGATGGATTCTTAATTATTATAGATGCCGCTATCGTATGAACCTTGGATAAGTTAAAAAAAAGTTTTGTTTGAATGGCGGCAGTTTGAAAAAAAAAAAATTTTTTATGTTTTTTTTAACAATTCCGAATTTTTTAAAAATACTAAATGAAAAGTTATAGTTTTGGGAAAGGTCCATGCGATAAAGCGATGTATAGAGAAGATCCTCTCCAAATTTGAAGTAAATCGGTTAATTAGAACTCGAGATATCTTTACCGCCAGCTCCAAAAAAGTAGTTCCGAGAAAAGCGCGTTCAAAGTTTTGAGACTCGGTCGGACCCGAACCGAGGCCACGTCACTAAAACGGATATAACTCAGGAAATAATAGTAATTTTCCTTAAATCGAAAAATCCTTTTAATGACATATTTTTGAATAACTAAACTTTGAAAATATGAAAGAAATTTTTTTTCGATTTTTTCAAAATTCTACAGTAGAATACCCCCTTAAGCTCGTAAGGCGGCCACTGTATAACTTATATCGCTTACCGTATCCTGCATAAGTCCTAAATTGATTTCTTGAGTAAAGTTATTGCATAGCGGCACCGTTTTCCCTTCAGCCCTTGCTGGTCCAACCAAAAAGTGTGGCAACGAAAAGCACAGGGCGCCTGCTCCGAGCAGTAGAACACCCAGGCCCAGCCATCGCGGCTTTGAAGCCATGGCGCGACCTCCTAGGTAAGTGACTGGTACCAGGCAAAGGAAAGACGCCATATCGTAACCACCAGCCACCAGTCCGGTTTGTTTCGATCGTAGACCAAAACGGCGCTCTATTGTCGTTATTACCACGTTTACGAAACCGTTAACGATCATTCCTGGAATAAATGTAATGCAGATTGTTAGACTAATTTATTTTATTTTAATTTATTTAAACAAAGACAATTTACGTTTGAAACAAGTAGGTAAAATATAGTCATACCTACATGCTACTATATTTGCTATAGTAGTTTGAAATTGTAACTCAAAAATCCGAACATTGCGCTACTCGTTCGTTTTCAATGATGTTTGATAAATCCACTCGAAATAGCATCAATAACTAATTAATTAATTTATATTTTATTGATTAAGTCGATTATTTACATATATATATATATATATATATATATATATATATAGAAGTTTATGTAACTTGCCCCAAGGCAAAATACCAATACCAACTAGTTTAGTTTGGGTTTTATATTCAATCGCAATCTTGAAATCGCATTTATCTCGGGAAATAAATACTTTATTTCTAATAAATAAATCACTGATATTACGAAATTTATAGTATTTGTAGTTTATTTATTTGATTTAAGTGGAAATCGGTACAATGCTAATCGTATTGTGCACAAAGCCCTTTGGGGTATTTTCTGAAGTTTCTAAAACCTAATATTTATAAAGATGTCAATATGAACTTACTAAACAAACAGAGATATCAATATAAAATATTTTACTTAATTCTATAAGTTTTGTTAAACCGCTCTAGTATAAAAGAGTTCAGTTTTATAGAATACAAATATAGATCCTTTTATAAAACTGAAAAAAATTTTTAAGTTTATAGAGTTAAAATGAAATACTTGACTTCTTTCCATAGAGTGAATTCTAAATTATTATTTTGATTCTATTTTTTTTTTCTCTTTTCTCATGTAACAATAGGTTATAAGATTTCATTGTATCTTGATTGCTATTTTAAGGAAATAAAAAATGTTTATGGAGTTGAAGAGAGAGACACAATGCATTAAAATTAAATTTTCAAAATGAGTATAATTTTAACAAATAATAAAATTGATAAAAAAAATTAGATAATTATGTAGTAACGCGATTTTGACCTTGGTTTATGAATGCACGATTTATCATGCATTGCTGTAATTTTAATACAATTTACTTTTATATAGGCACATCTAAATATATAAATAATTCGCGTATGTCACGGAACCATTTTTATCTTGGTATTATATTATATTTTTAAAAGAATCTTTTGCTTTTATAAATATGTTCATAAAAAACTCAGTGATGATTTTCACTGTACTAGACATATTTTCTAGGAAAATTTCTAGGTTTCATAATTCCGGGTTTCTGATAGAATATACTAAAAGAAAAGCCAAACTATGACATAATTGGCAATATTTTTGGTAATGTGTGTATTTTAGATATCGAACGTAGTTAAATTAGTCTTTCAATAATAGATTTGGAAAAATATGCGGAAATATAATTTATGTTATAAATGATGATGTATCTTAAAAACATATGTATCTTAAAAAATAAGAAAATGGGAATTTTGTAACTTAGGAATCCATGTATATGTAATAAATATGAGATATATGCAGCTTTTTTTTTGCATAGATTTATTGCCGATCAAAATAATATAAATTTTCAAGACAATATGCTGGATGTAAATGATGTGCAAACTTACGCTTACAATATAAACCACAAACAAAATATAATTACACATGTAAGATTATGTTACATATGTATACTTAAAAGTGAGTATAAATTATAGGAAAATTGTAAACAAAATCTGCGATTTAAATAAGACCACATAATTAAAAAATACCGTTTTTCATACCAATCATCAGTGGTAGTGAATTGCAAATATTTTCAGCAACGTATTGCTGGCATCGTTGGGGTTGAAAATTAAATTTAAATTTCCTGTATCAATCAATCATAATCAATCATAAAGCTTTGTTTGAATTTGATATCTTAATTAATGAATGATTGATGTATTAATAAAGATCGACTGTACGAAATTCACTTTTTATTACTGCTCGTATAAATTATATACTGCTCATATTAAATATGCTCGATTTTATAACATTGCTATTTAAATAAAAGCTATGATTCATATATTATAAAATATTAGTGATAACTTGAAATATTACAATCACAATATATTTAGTTTTATGTGTATTTATACCTATTTGTAGGGCATCAAAAAGTAAAAAATCATAATTTATTACGCTACATTCCGTAAGGAAATTTGTTTTAAATTGTTAGTTATGAAAAAATGTTAACATTAATTCGAACCGGTAGGTTTAATCAATTTTATTATTACATAAAGTTAATTTTAATGTATTTTACCATATATAACTTCACCATAAACTAATTTGTGCTAACTGTCGATTTAAAGCAGATTGTTTTTAATAAATATATAAGATTCGTAGGACTCAGTTGAAAGTTTATTTTATATTGAGAACAAATAAACAAATATCCAATACTTACTACTCGTACATAAATTACCATTAAAAATGATCGAGCAAAACGTGTTACTACTCTTTTTAATAAGTGACTACTAGTGCCTTATTTGATCATTGCGATTAGAAATTGAGGTGAGTTTTGTATAAAAAATGTTCAATTAGTTTTGTGGAAAGAAGTATCGAAAGATGTATTCAGTTTTATTAGGAATAAAATCTCGAAATCATGACCATCTTGAAAATCATGATGATCTTCAAAATATATCGACGCATATCAAGCAATATAATATTAAAAAAATTTTTTAACATACTGCAAAATAATAGTAGGCCAGGTTGACTGTACTATCTCATACATCGTATAACCCTATATTATATATTTTTTACTTTAAATTCTCAAATTTTATTGATGAATAATTTAGTCTTAAAATATTGTTTTGTTTCACAAAATGAAAGCAAGGACAATAGCCAAAATGTATGAATTTTAATTTTTTTTAAAGAAATTAATGTTTTTTATGTGACCCTATCATTAGACTCATTGTATAATTAAAACATATCTCAATATAAAATTCAAAATTCTACAAGTATATATATGCGTGTATGTGTGTTCGTGTGTATTTATCTATTAAATGGATTTTGTAATTTTTCCAATCGATCTTCAAATAACTAGAGTGTGACTAACGCAATCACTTACAAAGATCGTAAAGTAGGAGAACACCATGTTGTAAACTCGGAGAGGAAGAAAAGGGTTTGAAACATGTGTTAAGGGAAGGAGAACTCTATCCAACAACTGATAAATTGGACTAAGAACAATCGGTTGACGCTACATTGAACTTTCATTTGTGAACATTTGTCTTACGGTAGAATTGATTTATTCCTTGTTTGCCAATTTAGGCGACATAGTTGTAGGGAAGATTTCACGAGTTACTAAATAAATTTATCAGAAGAACCTATGCGATTTCGTAATAGACAGATAGAGAAGACTGAATGTTAGAATATCAGATTGCTAATCTTTTTGATTAAAATAGAAAGGTTATTAAAAATGTTGTGTTATGATAAATTATTACCATAATGTATTTTTTATATTTTGACGCTATTTTAGGTCGCACTGCAATTTAGTAACTTTTATAACTAATGGGTCTCAATGGTACCTATAACATGTTGAGGTTCGATTTTTGTAGTTATTCTCATATTTTTGTACGTTGGCTCAAATTGATTGTTTTCTTTTCGCTACGAGCGTCGTCTACAGACGACATCTGCTTGACTGCTAGTGTTTACGAATATCAGCTATCATCTAGTATAACGAAATTTGCTTATCCTTAATCACTCTGATTGAATTTTTTGTGAATTCGAATTTGGTATCTTTAATTTTAATTTTTTTAGTGGTGTAATTTTTAATTTTTAAATACATTTTTATCGGTAATGAAAATCTGAAAATATTTTGGTAGGTTTACTGGCTCGTACAGCAGCGTCACTCTTGCAAGTAGCAAAAAGGTTAACATTCTAGATAGCTTTAGGAAAGTTTAAATATTTTATTATTTATTATATTTATATAGTTTTTCTATGTTTCAGGGATGCAGGAAATTTAACTTAAAACTTCAAGACTCCAAAAATCACATCAAGGTAAGCACAATTCTTTAACATGATGTTTTAGTTATTTATGTCTTTAATATTAAAAAACCACATATATATATATATATATATATATATATATATTAGGGTGGTCCTTAATATGGATATTTTCAATGCTTCCAAAATGATAAAAAAAATCTCTGTGAGTTTCAGCTTTTAATATTAACTTTAAGATGGTCCGCACTCCAACCAAAGTTTCTTATGGAAATAACATGGATAAATTTACAACATAAATTTGATATATTTCTTAAAATAATTTACTTCAGAAGAAGAAAAATAATTTACTTGATCGGAGTACGGACTATCTTAAAGTCAATATTAAGATCTAAAAGTTTCAGAGAATTTGAACCCTTGGAAGCAAAAAAATTCGAAAATATATACATACTAAGGACCATCCTAAAATACATAAATATAGCGGGGTGCTCCTACCAAAAACCGGTCGTACGATTTTATTTTTTCAAAATTTAGGTCCCTACATTATAGGTCAGCAAATAGAATGATTTCTAAATGATTAATTAAATTCTTCTACCTCAGTATAAAATATTATATTTCCTAATTAGTTGATGCCTGCTAGGGTTCAACATCCAAATTAATTCGAATTATTTATAGAAATTGCATGATTCGAATCATTGGCGAATATGCCTCAAGTTTTGTAACACAATACCTAATAATACATAAGATTCGTAGAAGCGATTTTGCCACGTATCACATGTCTAAAACATTTTTAATAGTAATTTGATCGCCCTCAGATCCTTCTTACTATATGTGTACTCACTGACGTCTATTGTTCTGATTACTTGATATAAAATCTCATATTAGGTATCAGCCCTCCATGTTATCGCGAAGACCAGACAGACGATCGCAATGGGAAATATAAAGCTGACATGTCTAGTCAAAATATTATTTTCTTTCCCTAGAAACGTGTAGATTGTTCAAACAGTAGTTTCAAGTTTTATTGTGCGATTTGACGTATAAGTTTTACTGTAGTTTTTAGATAAAGGTCGAAAAAATAAAGA